TCCGTCCTTCCAGTGAACACTCAGGGCTGATTTCCTTAAGAATGGATAGGTTTGATCTTCTTGCAGTCCATGGGACTCTCAAGAGTCTCCTCCAGCACCATAATTCAAAAGCATCAATTCTTCGGCGATCAACCTTCTTTATGGTCCAGCTCTCACTTCCATACATCACTACTGGGAAAACCATAGCTTTAACTGTACGGAACTTTGTTGACAAGGTGATGTCTCTAATTTTTAAGATGCTGTTTAGGTTTGTCATTGCTTTTCTCCCAAAAAGCAGGCGTCTTTTAATTTCGTGACTGCTGTCACCATCTGAGGTGATCGTGGAGCCCAAGAAAGTAAAACCTCTCACTGCCTCCATTTCTTCCCCTTCTATTTGCCAGGAGGTGATGGGACCAGTGGCCATAATCTTCGGTTTTTTGATGTTGAGCTTCAAACCATATTTTGCGCTCTCCTCTTTCACCCTCATTAAAAGGTTCTTTAATTCCTCCTCAATTTCTGCCATCAAGGTTGCGTCATCTGCATATCTGAGGTTGTTGATATTTCTTAGCCTGGAGAAGAGGAGGTTAAGGGGTGATATGATAGCCATGTTCAAATATATAAAAGGATGTCACATAGAGGAGGGAGAAAGGTTGTTTTCTGCTGCTCCAGAGAAGCGGACACGGAGCAATGGATCCAAACTACAAGAAAGAAGATTCCACCTAAACATTAGGAAGAACTTCCTGACAGTAAGAGCTGTTCGACAGTGGAATTTGCTGCCAAGGAGTGTGGTGGAGTCTCCTTCTTTGGAGGTCTTTAAGCAGAGGCTTGACAACCATATGTCAGGAGTGCTCTGATGGTGTTTCCTGCTTGGCAGGGGGTTGGACTCGATGGCCCTTGTGGTCTCTTCCAACTCTATGATTCTATGATTCTATGATTCTTCCGGCAATCTTAATTCCAGTTTGGGATTCATCCAGCCCAGCCTTTTGCATGATGAATTCTGCATATAAGTTAAATAAGCAGGGAGACAATATACAGCCTTGTCATACTCCTTTCCCAATTTTGAACCAATCAGTTGTTCCATATCCAGTTTTAACTGTAGCTTCTTGTCCCACATAGAGATTTCTCAGGAGACAGATGAGGTGATCAGGCACTCCCATTTCTTTAAGAACTTGCCATAGTTTGCTGTGGTCGACACAGTCAAAGGCTTTTGCATAGTCAATGAAGCAGAAGTAGATGTCTTTCTGGAACTCTCTAGCTTTCTCCATAATCCAGCGCATGTTTGCAATTTGGTCTCTGGTTCCTCTACCTCTTCTAAATCCAGCTTGCACTTCTGGGAGTTCTCGGTCCACATACTGCTTGAGCCTACCTTGTAGAATTTTAAGCCTATTTTTGTTTCAGGCCCTACAGATTGTGGACAGAGTGGAATGTTTTGGAAAGTGGCAGAAGGATATCTCTAAGTTTGTTTGGCAGGGCAAAAAGCCCCGAATAAAGTTTAAAATATTAACTGATTCGAAAGAAAGAGGGGGGTTTGCCCTGCCGGACTTGAGGTTGTATTATGAATCTGCAGCTTTCTGCTGGTTGAAGGATTGGTTTCTGTTGGAGAACACTGATGTCCTAGATCTGGAAGGGTTTCACAATGCTTTTGGTTGGCATGCATATTTGTGGTACGACAAGGTTAAAGTTCATAAATTGTTTAAAAACCATATTGTCAGAAGAGCAATATTTATGGTCTGGATAAAATACAAAGACTTATTAGAGGGTAAGACCCCGAGGTGGCTATCACCGGTGGAGGCCAAGGCTCGAAAAAGACCCAACATGGAGGCCTACTGGCCGAAATATTGGGAAATAAATGAAAAAATTGGAGACTATTGGAGGTTGCAGAGCTTGGAGAAATTAAAAAATAAGGTGCGAGATTGGCTACATTACGCTCAAATTCAAGAGGTTTTTAAAATAGACAAAAAAGTTGGTTTCCAGGTGGAAAAATCGAAACTAGAGACGGAATTGTTAGAACCAAAAACTAAGATACTTTCGAGAATGTATAACTTGCTGCTTAAATGGAACACACAGGATGAGACAGTTAAATCTGCCATGATAAAATGGGCACAGGACATTGGGCATAACATCATGTTTGAGGACTGGGAAAGGTTATGGAACACCGGAATGAAGTTCACGGCATGTAATGCCTTGAAGGAAAACATTATGAAAATGATATACCCGGTGGTACATGACCCCAGTCAAGCTTGCTAAGATATATCACCTGTCTGACAACAAATGTTGGAAATGTAAGGAGGCTGAAGGGACATTCTTTCACCTCTGGTGGACCTGCCCAAAAGTGAGGGTCTTCTGGGAAGTGATTTACAACGAGTTAAAAAAGGTATTTAGGTATACCTTTTCCCAAGAAACCAGAGGCCTTCCTTCTGGGCATGGTAGACCAGAAAGTGTTAAAGAAGGATAGAACTTTGTTTATGTATGCTACTACAGCAGCAAGAATTCTCATCGCAAAGTACTGGAAGACACAAGATTTACCCACGCTGGAGGAATGGCAGACGCAGTTGATGGACTACATGGAACTGGCTGAAATGACTGGCAGAATCCGAGACTTGGGAGAGGAAACAACGGAAGAGGACTGGAAAAAATTTAAGGACTATTTGCAAAAACATTATAAGCTGTACGAATGTTAAAGAATGTGCACGATTAGGAAACTTTAGCTTCAGCAACTCGATTAGGTGAATTGAAAACTAAGTTATAAGAAAGAAGAGGTGGAAACATGAAATAACTTATTATGTTTATTTTAAATGTACAAGAATTGGGGATACAACACTGTGAATTTAGAAACATGATAAATTGAAAGATACAGTAAGTTATGAAACAAGGTAACAAATTGCTGACGCTTTTATTACAAAGAACGCAGGGTTTGGAGGATGTGGGGAAGTCCAGTTGGATTGTTAAAAACATTATGGAAAGTTGGATTTTTATATATTTCTTTTTCTCTTTGTTCTTTTTCTTTTTTCTTTATTCTGTATACCTTTGACCGTAAGAAAAGAAATTTAATAAAATATTATATTAAAAAAAAATAATAGAATTTTAAGCCTAACCTTGCTAGGGTATGAAATGAGTGCAATTGTGCGGTAGTTGGAGCATTCTTTGGCACTGCCCTTCTTTGGGATTGGGATGTAGACTGATCTTCTCCAATCCTCTGGCCACTGCTGAGTTTTCCAAACTTGCTGGCATATTGAGTGTAGCATCTTAACAGCATCATCTTTTAAATTTTAAAATAGTTCAGCTGGAATACCATCACTTCCACTGGCCCTTGTTATTTGCAGTGCTTTCTAAGGCCCATTTGACTTCACTCTCCAGGATGTCTGGCTCAAGGTCAGCAACCACACTACCTGGGGTATACGAGCCATCCATATATTTCTGGTATAATTCCTCTGTGTATTCTTGCCACCTCTTCTTGATGTCTTCTGCTTCTGTTAGGTCCTTACCACTTTTGTCCTTTATTATGGTAATCTTTGTACGAAATGTTCCTTTCATATCTCCAATTTTCTTGAACAGATCTCTGGTTCTTCCCATTCTGTTGTTTTCCTCTATTTCTTTGCATTGCTCGTTTAATAAGGCCTTCATGTCTCTCCTTGCTATTTTTTGGAAATCTGCATTCAATTTCCTGTATCTTTCACTATCTCCCTCGCATTTTGCTTGCCTTCTCTCCCCCGCTATTTGTAAGGCCTCGTTGGACAGCCACTTTGCCTTCTTGCATTTCCTTTTCATTGGGATGGTTTTCATTGCTTCCTCCTGTATAATGTTGCAAGCCTCCATCCATATTTCTTCAGGCACTCTGTCCACCAAATCTAAATCCTTAAACCTGTTCCTCACTTCCACTGTGTATTCATAAGGGATTTGATTTAGATTGTATCTTACCGGCCCAGTGGTTTTTCCTACTTTTTTCAGTTTAAGCCTGAATTTTGCTATAAGAAGCTGATGATCTGAGCCACAGTCAGCTCCAGGTCTTGTTTTTGCTGACTGTATAGAGCTTCTCCATCTTTGGCTGCAGAGAATATAATCAATCTGATTTCGATGCTGCCCATCTGGTGATGTCCATGTGTAGAGTCGTCTCTTGTGTTGTTGGAAAAGATTGTTTGTGATAACCAGCTTGTTCTCTTGACAGAACTCTATTAGCCTTTGCCCTGCTTCGTTTTGATCACCAAGGCCAAACTTGCCAGTTGTTCCTTTTATCTCTTGATTCCCTACTTTAGCATTCCAATCCCCTATGATGAAAAGAACATCCTTCATTGGTGTCACTTCTATAAGGTGTTGCAAGTCTTCATAGAATTGGTCAGTTTCAGTTTCTTCAGCTCCAGTAGTTGGTGCATAAATTTGGATTACTGTGATGTTAAAAGGTCTGCCTTGGATTCGTATTGAGATCATTCTATCATTTTTGAGATTGCATCCCAGTACAGCTCTCGCCACTCTTTTGTTAACTATGAGGGCCACTCCTTTTCTTTTATGGGATTCTTGCCCACAGTAGTAGATATGATGGTCATCCGAACTGAATTCGCCCATTCCTGTCCATTTTAGTTCACTGATGCCCAGGATGTCAATATTTATTCTTGCCATCTCATTTTTGACCACATCCAACTTACCAAGGTTCATGGTTCTTATATTCCAGGTTCCTATGCAATATTTTTCTTTACAGCATTGGACTTTCCTTTCGCTTCCAGGCATATCCGCAACTGAGTGTCCTTTCGGCTTTGGCCCAGCTGCTTCATCAGCTCTGAATCTACTTGTACTTGTCCTCCGCTCTTCCCCAGTAGCATGTTGGACGCCTTCCGACCTGAGGGGCTCATCTTCCAGCGTCATAACTTTTATATGTCTGTTGTCTTTGTCCATGAAGTTTTCTTGGCAGGGATACTGGAGTGGCTTGCCGGTTCCTCCTCCAGGTGGATCACGTTTGGTCAAAACTCTCCACTATGACCTGTCCATCTTGGGTGCCCTGCTCGGCATAGTTCATAGCTTCTCTGAGTTATTCAAGCCCCTTCGCCACAGCAAGGCAGTGATCCATGAAGGGGCCTACATGTAACTACCATCAATTCCACATCTGGGGAGCAGTACGTATAAGCTACTCTGCTGTTAATACACCAACTACTGTGTATATAAATTCAGATTCCTCCTCCCCTAGTCTTACCAAAATTACTGTTTCTATCAGAGCGATAAATTACTTGGTTTGTCAGCTCCACTGCCGCATCTGGTATCGCTGAAAGTTTCCATAATAGGTTTCCGTAATAATTGCAAAACAGCTCTCACAAAGAGGCTTACTTACTGCCATCTGCAACTCTAGTTTGCCAAATTTATGGACGAGAGATCTGATGTTAGTCAGGAAGACACTTGGCAGTGCTGGTCTAGTGGGTTGTTTTCAAAGCCAAGTCAACAAACAAGCTCTGCACCCTCACCTTTGTTTTCGCTCCTTTCTCTTTCGCTTCTGTTGGCACTTCCCCCTCCCGATGACAATCCATGGAGAACCTGGAGATCTCGCTATGCAATTTGGTATACTGTGGGACTGCTGAAACCCTCTCGTTATCTCTAATTTCCTTGCAAGCCCAATGTTTACCAGTTCTATGCGTGAGTAGGTGAAGTCCGCTCCTCGCACCACATTGTGCAAACACATCCATACACATATTATTCCAAACAGCATACACCCTTCTCGGGGGCTCAAAGCCGCAGAGTGTGAACATGCCACCATCTTGTGCATACAGACATTCAGGATGTACCATGTACCATGAACTGCATAGTTACTATTTCATTGTTCTAGTGTGGTTATTTTGGTTCCTTAAGGCTCAGGCAGTAGAGTGCTCTGCTCTGCTCCTGGTTTACAACTCTGTTTCTGACCAAAATCTGTAAGTAATGCATAATGATGTCTATTTTTGCCTTAATGGAGACTATAGTAGGGTAGGATTTCTTATCTTATATTGGGGGTGGATCTACACACAGGAAAAAAACCCACTATAAATAAGTCTGAAACAAGTCAGCTCCCCCAATATTTTTGGGCAGGGGGCAGCACCCCCTCCAATATTGAGGGGGCTATTACTTCCTGCCACTGCCAGGTGCCCTCTGCACGCCCCAGCCTCCGGCCATCAGCCTAGGAGCCAGGAGGTGACTGGGACAAGTGCAGAGGGCAATCTCTGCACTTGCTCCTCCCAGCCGCAGCCTGGGAGCCCAGGAGCCAAACTGCAGCTGGGACGAGTGAAACAAAGATAGCCCCCGCCCAGCGCACACCAGGCAGCATCACATGACCACGCCCCCAATGTTGGGGGCAAGTCGGCACCCCTGCCTGGGATTCAAGTCACTGTTTTGCCCTATTCAGGCATTAAAAGCAACAGGATCAGGCCCCTTATTTTATAGTATGATTTTTGTCACTGTTGAGTGACATTTGCTTCAGCATATGCAACAATCCAGATCATTCTTTGTGAATGTGTCTATGTGCAAGAGAGGCCATACAATCAAAGGCCAACCTTGCCATTCCAGCTCTATGCAAGAAGACCTGTTTATGGGAATGGCACCAATCCATCCCATCATTGTGGCCGCTTCATATTAAATCTGTATAGGAGGAAATGTGAAAACCCTCATTTGTGAAGTATGGTTGGCTTTTTCCTTTTTCCTTTGCATACGGAGATACATGTCAAAGTCCCAGTCACAGCACTCATAGAAAAAATAAAGAGCACTTCATACCAGACTTCACACATGCTACCTCTCAAGGTAGGGGGGAAATTGTGTTTCTAAAGCAGCTCTTGCAAACATTTCGAGTTTGTATGTAAAAGCTTCAAGCTTGCCACCCTGAAATATAATCAGTTTGCCATCTTTCTTTAATTCAGCACATAATCAAAAAAGCCCAGTGAAGGCACCAGAAATCAATACTTTGAAAGTTTCCTTTATAAAAGAGACATCAGGAACAAGAGCAAACAGAAACATGCAGATTCTTACCCCTCTTACCTGCTAATCCAATTGTCAGTAGACCGTTAACTAGAAAGAAAAAGAGTAGCTATTAGAGATCCATTATTCCAAAATTATCAGAAGTACACTATAGTATTACTAAATTAGTATATAAACAAAATTATATAGTATATAAACATATATAAATATATGAATTTATATTATATTTATATTATTAATAAATATAATATATAAACAAAATTTATCATAAACAATTGGATAGAAATGAAGCTGGTGACATTACACGCTATTGATTTCAATAGAAACTCATTATTAGTTTGTCTCCTTGATTTCAGTGCAAACTTATGTAAAGGATATATGTTCAATGTGTATAAAATGTTATGTGGTGGCTTGCATTTGCAGAGTGTCTGCTTTTTTCAGAGAACTGTAGCAAGTGCAAAAGGTACTTGTGCAGCTAAAGCTGCAAAATGTTACCTAATGAACTTGCTTATCCAAATGGCTCTCTGGGACCAGAGGGAGAATAGTACTTGGACTCTGCACGTGGTCCCACTACCCTAACACAACGCGTTCCTTGGAAATTGTTCATTAGTCGAGCATTCACACAAAGAGTCAACTATTTCTATGATTCCTATGGGAACATTTCTAATCCATGATTTGTCCAATCTCTCTCCTGCAGCCCTCCACGGTTTCTTCCTGAAATAGCTGCAGCCAACCAGCAAAAGAGAGATAAAGGAAAAGCTGATTTGTCGGATCTCTCTCCCAGCCCTACATGGTTTCTGCCCTAATATGGCTGCTGCGAACCAGCAAAGCTCAAGCAAGCAAGGAAGGAAGGAAGTGGGCAAACTGGCTGTTTGGATATCTGATTGTGCAAAGTGTATAGTGAGGTCGGGGCATGATTCTTTATCTTTGGATTAGTGAATTTTCACATAGCGAGCAAGCACATTGAAGGACTTGCATGAATTAACAAGCAAGAACCTAAAAAAAGCTGAACTGCATTCCTAGTTGTTTAACAGTAATGTGTTGATTTGAATGTACAACTGTTTTTGCTAACAAGTCTAAAGACAGTTTACTCTGGAACTCTTTCTTGGTGTAGAGATCTCCTTGATTCTGACTCTGAACAAGGTCCCCAACTCATTAGGCCCCCTTCAGACATTGGGTACCACATACGCAGCAGCCTTGGGGCAGTGGGGCAGAGGGCCAGCCAAATCCCACCAATGGTGCCATCACCCACCAAGGAGAGCCAAGAATGCTGCCAGCTTGGAGCTCCCCACACCCAAGTGCTCAGGAAAATCTGTCAAAATCTTTCTACAATTTCTACTTTTAGTTAAGTATTTTTATTTACTTACTTGATTGAGGGGGGAGCTCTCCCCCCGCCCTGCCCTGGCTATACCCAGGCCTGAGTATGCTCCTTTTAAGACTTCCCTCTGCAGCAAGGTGGGTGGTGAAATATACTACTTTTGGGTGCTCCTGTTGGCCAATCAGGTTGTTGCATTCTAGGATCCTACCAGCCTATTTTTCTAGGATTCAAGCTCAGTACATAACAGAGGGGAAGTCAGATGAGGAGGGATTTAAGATTTAAGCTGGTGCTGAGACTCTTGCAATACTCTCCCTCCAGGGACCTGACAGTCCTGTATCTAGTCAGCATTTTCCTACACAACTGGACCTGCTTGTGCCCGTACACTCTGCACCATCCACCCTGTCCCTCTGGGAATCTCAAGCATGACTCAGAATCTGCTTGCCTGGAGGATTCCCAGCTGTTTCCATGCTTAACGGTGTACCACAAACACACACGTGGCTCCCTCTATGCTCTTGCTGCAATGCAGGTGGGAGCAATAAACAATGATTCCTGGCCTAACATTATATCCAAAAACATTTCAGTGATTTGTTTTGTTCCTAAAAAGCCACAAGGTAAAGCCAATGTTTGTTCTTGACTTCCCAACTGCAGTTTGCTTGAGTGAAATAAATTATGAGTTCCCAGCTCTGATGTAATATAAAGCCAAATATTTACTGTTGTGTGTGAATGGGACCAATAAGTTATCTGAAACTTTATTTTTAAAAAACATCTTGCCCTCACGCTCTCCGCCTTCAAATAAGACATGAAAAATATAAATTTAGGAAGCTGTTGTCTGCCTAGCTCAGTATGGTCTGCACTGAGGGGCGGCATCTCTCCAGCACTGCAGGCGACCATTTTCCCCAGCACTGCTTGGAGATGTCCAGGGTGGATCCAAAGGTTCCTCAGCATGCGAAGCACAGGGTCTTCCAAGGAGCTACAGCCCCTCCCGCTTCCCATAAGGAAAGGGCACTTCTGCCTGCCAGAAATATTTAGCTGTAACTGTATAACAAAAGCCATAGAACTTGTAATTTGATTTGGCATGGTGCGTTCAGGTCTCTAAGAAACACTTTCCCCTGGTTGGTGGTAGCAAAGTAGAAAGAGCCTGAAGGGAAACATTTTTTGGATCTGCTTAATAAAATCAGATAATAATCAGCATCAAGACCTTCAGATCTGTTAGAAATATTCCACTTGGAGCTTGTGACACCATAATGAGTCCCGGAGTTGACCAGAATGTTAAAAAAGGGAAAGCAAAGTTATTTCCTCGGCCCTAGGTATGATTTTCCAAAGCAGTTCTGTCCAAATATTCCAATGTAAATTGATTCCATTAAATTCAACTGAATTAAGTATCGCTAAAGATTAAAATGTAGTAACATGTGCTGGAAATTTCAGTAGCAATCTACTTGCTAAATGATCATAATAAAGTTCAAGCTTCTTAATTAAAGTGCTAATTTTAACAATAGCAATCTGAATTAACGTGCCAGATGTCTCTTTAATTGACACTGCTGCACGAGAGCATTTAACATCCCCCTTAAATAGGTAATGAAACTGAAGCAGATGCTCCTTACAGAAAGCTGAAGTCAAAGGAGTAGCACAATTTTAAGCAAGTAGGGGAAGCCCACAGCTGACAGGCAGCACACTTAAGGAGACACATCCGAGGTGTGGATGAGCCTCTTAAATAGGTTGACAGCTTCCTTTGAGCAGCAACCCCAATTCTGATGAGTCCAATTCTTAAGGCGATCCAGCCTGTTTCAGAGCCACTGGCCCAGTGGAGCAGAGGAAGTGGAAGTCCATGAACTTCATCTGACTGCACAAGGGCTGCCATCATGGGCTCCTCTGCTGCTGGGATTCCTGAGGAGGCAGGCATGTCAAACTGGCTCAAAGGGCACATTCTGCTCCAAGTCCGACAAATCTTCTGAATCCATGACCTGAGAACAAGGAGTCAGAGCCCTAGACATGACTCAGGGATGATAGGAGTTGTAGTCCAACTGTGATGGCCTGGGATTCCGATTCTGAGAGCGAACCGGAGGAATCCCAGCCGGCACAGGAGTCCCCGCCTCCAGGGCCGGCTGAACTGGGGCAAGGCCTAGATTCTGAGGAGCCTGCACCTGTGCCAGATCCTCAGGAGCAGGCACCAGGTGAATCCATTCTGGCCCCAGAGGTGCTTGAGGACTCAGTGTCTACAGGTGAGCTTCCCCCGGGACCCAGTAACCCTTCGGCCTCTCCTGAACTGCAGAGGCTTAGGGCAGAGAGGCGAAGGGAACTGGTTTCTCCCAGGAGGAGTGCTCGCCTTAAGGCCAGGAGAGGCGGGGCTTCTGGGGGCCGGGACCACCCCTGGCCTTAGAGAAGATAAAGGCCAGTCAGCCCGGTCCCAGGTTGCGGGAGCAACGTCGTTATTGAAGAGCTGTTTCGGCCAGCATCCAGTCCTGTTCCTCCAGTGTTCCTGTTCCCCGCCCGGCTCCCTGCTTCTGATCTTCGAGTGTTCCTGTCCCCGCCCGGCTCCCTGTTTCGGACCTCGTCTCGCACCTTGTGGACTATTACCAGGCTAGTGACTCAGGACTGAACTTTGACTACGTTAACAGTAACCTTCCCCCTGGGACCAGCACACCAACAATATGAGGAGGGCCACACAGGTTAACCACACCACCTCTAAATCTTGGCAGTCAGGAGCAGGGGATCCTATGCACACAGCTTGGCTTGATGTGGAAAACTAAACTGAGGTAAAAAGTAAAAGGTAAAGGACCCCGTACGGGTATGTCTAGTCAACGGCAATTATGGGGTGTGGTGCTCATCTCAATTTTCAGACCAAGGGAGCTGGCGTTTGTTCACAAACAGCTTTCTGGATCATGTGGCCAGCAGGTCTAAACCACCACTGGAGCACAGAGGACCGCGACAAAAGCCAGAGCGCACGGAAACACCATTTACCTTCCCACTGCAATGGTACTTATTTATCTACTTACACTGATGTGCTTTCGAACTGCTAGGTTGGCAGGAGCTGGGGGAAAACAACGGGAGCTCACCCCATCAAGCAGATTCAAACCACCAACCTTCTGATCAGCCAGCCCAAGAGGCTCAGTGGTTTAGACCACAGCGCCACCCGCGTCCCCTTACACTTCTTATCCCCTGCAAGGGAATAATAAGATGTGGGGATTGGACAGCCAGAGAGAGGCTGGTGAATGGAGCAGGGCCAGGGAATGGGAGGTGGAAATGAGAAAGCAAGATGAGGGCGGAAACAATGAGAAGATATTCTCAGGGGCGGAACCTGGGAGCATGTATGTGTAAACCAACAGAGAAATCAAGTAAATAAAGGTTTGGGGACAGGACACATCTTGTTGGAGGCAGAGCTGATGGCCCTTCTCCTTTATGCATCTGATGTGCTCATGAGATCTCCATAGCCCTTCTTCCCCTACTGCCCCCTTCCCAACATCAGGGAGGTGAAAAAGAAGGCCAGAACAACTTGTTACTCAGAAACGTTGCAGACTGAAACCAAATACACAATTTATCCTATTCAAAGTCAGGGGGAAGAAAAAATGGTGGATTGTCTGTCCATGTGTGATTTGTCTTGATAGCAGGTAGTTCCAGCATAATATAGCATTTTATTCAATGCACTTCATCCATTACCTTGGTAATTTTTACAAGAACCCAGTGAGCTAGATGTTCAGTATTCTCCTCACTGTGTGCAGAGCAGGTGAGGGATGGGGCAGAGAGAACAATGGCTTGCCTAAGGCCCCCTAAAGTT